AGATTTTACTTCGTGAATGCTCCCAAGATTCTACCGCAGTGCTTGGAGTCAACTGGGCCTATTCCTTTGTTAAACGCCGTCCTGAATTACGTGCAAGATATAATCAAAGAATTACATACCAGCGTGCAAAGCAGGAGGATCCAAAGGTTATAAAACAGTGGTTTGAAACTGTACATGGAGCTATTCAGGAACATGGCATCCATGAAGACGATATCTGGAACTTTGATGAAACTGGCTTTGCAATGGGACTCTGTACAACATCCAAGGTTATTACTGCAGTGGATCGCAGTGAGAGACCCCGTACAGTTATTCAAGGGAATCGTGAATGGGTTACAATCATTGAATGTGTGAGCTCAAAGGGGGTTTCTATACCACCAGTGGTCATCTTGAAGGGGAAGGAGCAACAGGCTACCTGGTATCAAGAACCAGCAGTTCCTCAAACCTAGTCAATTGCAAAGAGTGACAATGGCTGGACAACTGATATAATAGGCCTTCGCTGGCTTAAGGAGGTGTTTGAGCCACACTCGCGGCAGAGTTCAACTGGTGCAAAGAGATTGCTTATTCTTGATGGCCATTCTAGCCACCAGACTGCAGAATTTGATGCTTTCTGCAAGGAAAATGCAATCATTTGCCTTTGCATGCCACCTCATACTTCCCACCTTCTACAGCCACTGGATGTTGGCGTTTTTGGCCCGCTAAAACGCGCATATGGGAAGTTAGTTGAAGGAATGATGGTCGCGGGAAACAACCATATTGACAAAGAAGACTTTCTGCACCTATATCCGCCTGCGCGTGAAAAAGTCTTTAATCAAAAGAATATATGCAGTGGCTTTGCAGGTGCTGGTCTTAAACCATTTGATCAGGACCAAGTGCTTGAAAAGATCACTTTTCAACTTCGTACACCAACACCACCACTTCTTGTCGAAGGCTCAATCTCTTCTGCTTTCCAAACACCTCAGAATCCTCGGCAGCTAGATCACAAGGTCCGCAGCCTGCAGAGAAGTCTTCAGAAAAGGAAGCTTTCTAGCAGCCCAGTATCACATATTCAACATCTTGAAAAGGCAGCTCAAATGGCGATGAATATGAACCTTCTTCTGCAATAAGAAATTAAGGTTCTACGGGCTGAAAATGAGCGGAAGATCGGAAAGAAGGCAAGAAGGCGTGCTAATCTAGGTGATGATATCCTTTTATCTGTACAGGAAGGTCAAAATCGCGTTCAGCAGCTTGATATACCACGGAATGAGCAGGTTGATGAGTCTGCACCTGCCCCTCGCCAGCGAGCTCCACCGCGCTGTAGTGGCTGTTGGTCCATTAGACATATAATAAGAACTTGTCCTAATAAATAGCTTTTTAATTAATTACTATATAATTTAATTTAATATATTTTGCTGTTGGAAAGCTTCAGAAACAGTATGGGTGCGACGAAAACTCGTCACTCAGTCATATTCGTCACTCGGCCGTGGATTACGTTATTCTATAACTTCCATATTATACCTTAATTCTGTACAGCAGATTAGTTTTCTATTCTAGTCCTTAATAATATTAAGGTGTTAATTATAATAATATCTATGCCTTTTCATCTGAAAGGTTAAGAGCAGATTTATATAGTAATTAGGTATATAAGCTACTTGATTAACTTCTAAGATGTGTAGCTTCTAATTTATTCTAGTTGTCACAGTGCTGCCGTGAATAGGGGTTGGCATCGCTGAGGAGGAATCATGTGACCTTGGGAATATCTTCACCACACAATTCCAAAACCTGTTTGAAGCTCTTTGAGCTACGTCCTGTCTATAGAGCCTACCTGTACCAGTCTATCTGCAGCCTGGGACTGTTAGATAAGGATTAGTGAAGCTAGCCTGAGTGTCAACTACCTCTTCAACCCATCCTTGCCTGCCTGCGAGCCTGCACCTTTACACTAGTTACTCATAGTTTAACCTTTCTATATCCATGGATTTTTACTTCTGTTATACTAAAACATGTATACTCTCCCTTCACTAGCTTATAGGTAAGAAATTAAGTTTACTTATTATAGATGTTGATCTCATTAAAGACACTCAGCTTGCTATCCTCTAGTAAGTAGTCTAATTAAATACTAGTATATTAAGATTTAATCTTCTTTAATGCTATGAGGAAGGTCCTAGTGCCCATATAGCTAGTATATTATGTTATATTCAGCTTAGTACACACACTCAGCACCTTCTCCTACTTACTTAGCTAGCTTAATACATTCTAATTAGCTGGCTTAGTAGTAAGCTTCTAATATCTCTTCTTAATTTGGTTTATTCTTATTTTAATTAAAGGCTTTAGGTTAGCCTTAAGCTTTTAATATTACTTAACCTTATTATCTAATTAGCTAGTTAGCTGCTGGAGGTACTCTCTAGCTACTATTTACTCTATAGTAGTCCAGATAGCTATAAGGCCTTGATGATCTAGTTAATATTACTCTCTGTCTTCCTTATAGATTACTAATTCTTTAGTATATATTACTAATTGTCACACCCTGGGGTCCGTCTCTGCTGTTCTTCTGCTAGTCAACTACTTTGAGAAGGGGTGATATAGTCCCTGGACTATATCCGATACTTGCCTGAGGCCTACCGATCAGGTAGCCGTTGATATACCAACCGGGTATATGTCTGCTGCAACGATACAATGATCCAACCCGGGATCAAGGACAATCTAAAGGTAACACAAGGTCAATGAACAGTAAAGATAGAAGCAAGGCCTATTAAGGACGTATCCTTAATAGTAAGAGAGTAGCTGACGAATCGGACTAGTGAACTTGTACTCAAGTGAGTTATTGATATTGAACGCGAGGAACTAAACTAAGAGTCCTAGATACAGTGGTAATGAGTGTCCTTATATAGTTCCTCCTTTCCGGTCCCTACCCTGGGGCTATCATGAGGTCCCATTATGGACCGTTCTCCCAAGGTCCATGGTGGCATTATGTAGTCACGGTCCCTTATGGACCGTTATCTTTCCTTGGCATTAGGGACCGTTGTCACGTGACTTAACCATCTCCTGGTCTTGAGCCTGATTGTATATCAGATTGTACTGCCTTTCTTGTAAGCCTTATCTAACCATTCTGTGCCGACTGCAAGTGTGCCGTAACACTAATTTAGTTTTAATAGGCTTTACTAGAGCCTTCGCAGCAGCTGTAGTAGTTAATAAGCCATCTAATTAGCTTACTTTAGTTATTTAGGGCCTCTCTAAGGCTGGCTGGGGTTCTGTAGGGGCTAATCTAGCCTGCTGATTGGCTAGAATCATTAGATAGATTAGTCAAATTAGTGAAATAGGGTAAGGTCTTTCTCCCTGGAGTATATCAAGCACTCCATGGGTTTAGGCTAGGCTAATTATATAAGAATCTCATATCTACTAATCATCAGGCTTCTCTAGCATAATAAAGATCTTTATAGTGGATCTGATTAGTTCAGTGTAATAGTCTATATTACTCTTTGGGGTGACAGCAGTGTTAGTATATCTTTAATTCTTCTAAATCAGGCAAGTTAATTCTAATGAGATATCTTGTTAATGCTTTGAGATAGCTCTCTAATCTGCAGACCTTAGAAGAATGATAGTGGCTGTTGATCTGTGTGTCTCTTAAGGGCAGGCTGGGCTCATAACTGTTGAAAATAATAATACTGTAATGATTTATGTGGCACTAGTAATTTCTATGGCCAATCAAAAATTAATAAAGGTCTGATTCTTCTAAATGAATGACTATCTAGCTCCTATTTATGCCTTCAATTTGACTCTGTAATTAGAGCGAATATTCGCTGATTATTGAGCGAAGAAACGGCTTGGGGAAACGGCTTCGACGGCTCGGTGAAATCACATCACTTCCAAATCGGGCAAGCGGTCATATAATTCAATACCTCACCTTGTCGGCCAAAGGTCAACAGGCCTACTGGGGTCTACCAATGTACGGCTATATAATAGCAGAGGTACTATACTCCATGATATCATTATCTAACAAGCGTTATCAAGAACTAAGTATAGCATGTTCGCCTCATTCATCGAAGGATAGCTTGATCTTCTTCTTCTTTTGCTTCTGCTTTGCTTTCTGAGGTCCAGTGCTCGCTTGCTGCGTGTTATTCTCGGCTTCAACACTATCGTCTGCAATGACTTTCGCCTGTTTCCGCTTCTTTGGGCCTCCTATTCCAGCCAAATTCTGCTTTGAGGATGCTACCTCGGCGTCGGGTCTTTCAGTGTCCTGCTTCGACTCATGACCTGACTGTTTTTCGAAAGACTCCTGTTGCTTTTCGTCACCGCGCAATAGTGCCTCATATTCTTCCTTTGATATCACCTCGTTACTTTGTTCATCAACGTATGTGGGCTCGTCATCGTCCTCGTCATCTTTCTTCGCTAAGCGAGGTCGCGCAACGGGCCTTTCAAGGCGACCAGACGTATCTCCATACTGGTTTCTAAGTTTCTGTAGAAAAGCGGGCTGTTTATTCTCTGCCTGGCGTTAGATGAAGTGACATGTGAGCGAGGAGTTATAGCATACCATAGGCGAGATTTTTCGCGTTGAAGGACATGACTCCTGAATACAAGACGCGTTAGTCCCGAATCAGAGAAAGGCACAGTCAGAGATCGGTTTAGCGATGCTTGAGGGCAATAGCTAATTCTAATGCTTCTTGAATGTCTGTTAGTAGCGCGGGAGTTCTCTGGGCCGGATGTTCTCAGTCGAACTGCATCCTGGCCATAAGGAGGGGCTAATACGACGGAAAAAAGAGTGACTTAATCAAGCACAGATGGTTATATCATGGTCTAAGTATACAGAGATACTAGCACACGGAGTAGGATTGCTTGAGAGCGAAATGAATCTGGAATGCTGTACAGTGAGTGAGCCGCATGAGTGCCAAGCAATGGACGATCAGCCAGCTTGCGGTGCGGCTAACCCAGATAGGGCGGAAGGGTTGTCTCGTCGAAAAGTCCAATGCGGCGACAGCTCTCGCGTCAAGAAACCTCTCTCTAGACCAACCAACTCATAACACAAAACAATGCTGTGCGCAAGTGAGTCATATCTACTTCATGGTTTGTTTTGCTTGATTGCATATAGTTAATCATTGAACAGTTTCGGGAGAGGCACCGCAAGTGCCAGTCGTCTCGCCCAAGAGCGGTATGTCAAGGATCCAAGGATTTCCCGAGCTTTATTCGTCTAATAGTGAGTAGGCAGCGTGTTCGAGAGACGTCTCATCGAGGCATATATTGCCGAAAACGGAAAAGATCCAGTAAATGGAGAGGAACTCTCGGTCGACGAACTCATCGAAATCAAAAGCCAACGCGTTGTCCGGCCCCGACCTCCTACCCTTACATCCATTCCCTCATTGCTCAGCGTGTTTCAAGAAGAATGGGATGCGCTGGCGCTCGAAACTTACACATTGCGTCAGACCCTTGCCCAGACGCGGCAGGAGCTGAGCGCAGCTCTCTACCAACACGATGCTGCTGTACGAGTCATTGCGAAGTTAACAAAGGAAAGAGACGAAGCTCGCGACGCTTTGTCCAAGGTGACTGTTAGCGCCGGTCGCGCCGGAGGTGAAGAAGCTATGCAAATAGACTCAACCGGCTTACCAGACGCTGTACTTGCAAGAATTGAAAGCACACAGGCGTCGTACGTGACATGGCTATTTCAATTCGTCATCTTGTATTACTAACCTCACCTAGGCTGTCCAAGACACGTCGCAAGCGACCTATTCCCGAAGGCTGGGCTACAAGCGACGCCCTTTCTACATATAAGCCCACTGAGACGTCCGAGCCTCTCTGCCAAGGCGGCAAGGCCCTAGCCATTAACGCGGCCGGGGACATGGCTCTCGTAGGGGGTGCTGATGGCACTGTCGGTGTCTACTCCCTGTCCGAGAAACGTGTCGTTGGTAATCTGCAGACAAGCGGCCCGGTTACCAGTGCTGTATGGGCTGGTGACAAGGCAGTCATTGCGTCCTCTACGGGTGCCGTCCAGGTCTTTGAGAATGGCAAAGAACTGGCGAACTTTGGTTCTCATGCTGGTTCAGCAACGGATCTTGCTCTTCATGCTACTGGCGACATAGTCGGCTCCGTTGGCGTTGATAAGAGCTATGTGTTGTATGACCTGACAACTAACTCTGTCATCACTCAAATATTCACAGACGCATGTAAGCAAGGGCTGAATCGTTTCATTTGCGACCTTTACTAATTTCCCCCCTTCTCCTTTAGCTCTTCATACCGTCGCATTCCACCCGGATGGGCATCTCATCGCTGCTGGTGGCGCAGACGGTCAGATCAAGATTTTCGACGTTAAGTCTGGCGCCGCGGCCGCCAACTACGCCATGTCTGGTTCCGTCAAGTGCCTTTACTTCTCCGAGAACGGCACGTTCCTTGCTGCAGTGGCAGATAACTCGACTGTTCTGTCCATCTGGGATCTCCGCAGCTCGAAGGAGATCAAGGTTCTGGAGACGGGCAGCCAGATCGATTCTATCTGCTGGGATTACACTGGGCAGTTCCTTCTAACTGGTGGCCCCAGCGGAGTGACCGTTCAGCAATACTCGAAAGCGTCCAAACAATGGTCGGAGCCTTTGCGCAGCGCGGTGCCAGCAGTAGCAGTGGCTTGGGGCTCTGCTGCCCAGAGCATTGTGGCATTGAACAGCGAAGGTGGAGTCACAGTTTTGACAGCCCAGGAGTCATGATACCTTACAGAGAAGGAGCTTCTTTTGTACTTCTAGCCATATGTGTTTCCTTTTTCTCTTTTTGCATTGTCCTCAATCACTCTAGGCCTAAAAAAAAGGGTTACAATCAGGATCGATACACAAGGCAAGGAAATTCATGTTTGTTTCAACACAGCCATGCCACTTTTAAAGGATAATGCCTCCGGTTAACAAGTCTTGTCTGTCCCTCAACGACGATCCGCGCCAGCGTTTACAATCTGTTACCAGCTCATGGTGCCTTGCGCCAGTTCGTAGTTTGTCTGCTTGCAAAATACCTTCGCCACTGCTTATAAATTTATGCATTGGGCGGCGGTATGACATCTCTCCACCACAGACTCGGAACCAGCTAGTCATGGCCTCCACCAACAATAACGGGAGGCCCTACCGACTCCGGATGCTCCAGCATCCCTTACCTTCCATGTTATCCCCCTCTCGGTCCAACTCTTTCCATTTAATGACATTGACCTCACATCCTCGACATGAATGGTGATTCAGGCGTCCAGTTTGTGGCGGCGCGGCCAAGAAAGGTTTGTTCCATTGCATTCATAAACTTCACAGAGCGGGGCATTTCTTTACGATACCAACACAACCCACCAGAACTTTTTGCATGCCTTTCTAATGACTATTCTTCATAGCGTCCTCATCATCAGATGTCTGATCCGTCACGAAGCCAGCATCAGTCTCGCTGGCGCTCAGACGCTGAACCATCCTCGTCCCAAGACCACAATTCTCCGCATAGCCGCCCACCGTTGCCACCGATGAGATATCCTGGAGATGGATATGATTTCCGTCGACCCATAATGTCTGATTCTCCTCAAAGAGAGGATGTAATAGATTTGACGAACGAGCCAGATTCTCCGGAAGACCAGAGAAGACCGCAAAATGGCGGCTCGCGAACAGCACCACGACTACCACGATTTGGAAGAAACATAATGGCCGAAGTTGTCGATCTTGAAGAACCAGAAGATATAATTCGAGTAGATTCACCAAGCAGTCCGGAAGTCCAGTTTGTCGGAGCTACAGTGCGCCAGCCAGAACCAGTGCCGGCACCTCCGCCTAGAAATCGGGGCTTCATAGGGGCGAATCTCTGGGATTTAATACGATTACAACGTGAAATGGCACCTCGTCATCTCATGTCAAGAGAGGAAAGCTTCAGACAGGAAATTGCATGGAGAGCACGAGACCTTCATCGTCATCCGCCCGATGAGGTGGATATGTTTTTGCTTGGTGCTGCGGAGGAAGCTATCGATCTTGAAGATGCCATGGATCTCGCGATAGTTGGGGATAGGTCATTGAGAGTTGGGTATCCCACTTCTGGGTTGACTTCAGGTAGAGGCTCCCGCCAGAGCTCGTACAAAGCGCCAAGTCCTCCCTCCGAAGGATTCACGAGAAGCGCTGGGGAGGACGATCTGGTAGTGTGCCCAAATTGTGATGAGGAACTAGGAACAGGGGATGAGGCAAAGCAACAGATATGGGTAGCGAAACCTTGTGGACATGTTCGTGCCACCTTCCTACATTATGTTGGGGCCTAGCTGACGTTTTCAAGGTATACTGTGGTGAATGTGCCAGGAATCGTGCTGTTTCCAAGGCCAAGAAGACTCCCCAGAGAACCAAACCATTTTCTAAATGTCAGGTCATTGATTGCGGTAAACCCGTCAGTGCACCCAAATCAATGTTCCAGATATACCTTTGATCACCGGTATTCTGCATATGCTCAACGATGATCGGGTTCGCGTGGTGAGGTGTCTTCGGCGGAGTTAAAGCGTTTTTTCGGTCTCCCTATTCTTGATACCCCATTGCATGTGTACTGTGGGCGCGAGGGCATTTGTGATTTTCTCCTCCCTTGAGGGGCTTTTTCTGGATAGTCGAGGCATGAGGCATGTCATTTATTCATTCTACCTTAGTAGATAACGATCCATAGCAGCGGTTCATGCAATCCGCTGTTTATCTGACATTGAAAGGTATCTATTTTGTACATACCGTGCAATGACCCCTAATAGAAAGGCCTTGAGGTTGTCAAGGAAAAACACGACCAGAACAGAAATGACCCATGATATACAATATACACAGAAAAGGCTGAAAGATGGAGCCTCAACACCAGTCTAAACACCCCCAACACCGCTTCATACCATCTTGAGATCTCCGTGGTACGGGGACCAGATGCCTCTTACACTCTCGTTGATACTGGTGACGGGTTTCTTGGTGCGCTTGAGCTTCTCGCCGCTGGCTTCCTTGAGCAGATTCGCCTTCTTCAGGATCTGCTCAGGTTCCATATTCCGAACGCATATCGCTTTCTCTCGTCCGTTGATATAGTGACCTTTGATTACCGGATGTTTGTGCGGCCGTGGTGATACTCGAATTTCGATCTGAGGGTTGGCTTTGGCGAAGGAGGGTAGAGAGTGTTTCAGGAAAGCGCTGCATGATAGAACCATTAAATTCCAATTCACAGATAGAGTAGAAGCAAAACTGGACTTACACCATGCCTCTCGAGCTACCAGCCCAGTCACAGTAATGGAAATCCAAACGTTTGCATTGTAGGATGAAAGCGCCCACGCCGTTCTGTAATTCACAGCACGTCAGTCACTCAAAGGAGGCAATCATTGTTTGGCAAGGCGCTAGCATCATACCCTGGCCTTAGCTACCGTTCTGATGCCTTGTACAGGCATTTTGTGATGTATTTTATGATCGCTGTCGGTGTCTAGCAAGTCATCTAGGAACAATTCGGCGACTTTTCAAGACCGCAAGCAAGGTGGTTCATCATTGGTTGGCGTCAATCCCGCTTAGCGCGGCTGGCGCTTCTGCCGTCCCGTGGTTCCAGGCAACTAATGGAGAACGCGAAACTCTCAACCACCTGGCCGCGAGAATCTGAGTCCGAGGGAACTACCTAAACTATTACCTATCGTTTCCCCTCATGACTTCAGATCACATCGAGAAGTTGTCGCTAGATTGAAATAAAATCATTGAGGGGTCAGAATGACAGACAAACTCCCCCCTCCCCTCCTGGCGCTCTTCCAGCCTCGTCCACCATTACGTTACGTTCCTCCCATTGATCGCGCACCGGAAGATGTCAAGAAGAGTAGCATCGGCGGCGTTGCAGATTTCCTTGGAGAACTTAAGAAATACGGAGAGGAAGTTCCTTACAATGCCACAGAGAGCTGGCTGCAACGCAAGTGGCGTCAGAAGCTCGAGAAAAAGGAGAGGCTGAATAAGCAGTTGACTGAATGCCTTCAATCTTGTAAGGGCCCCGACCATTGATTGAACGTTCGCTCATGAGTGCTAACAATCTGCTTAGATGATCCTTCGAATGATCCTCAAGCTCGGGGGGATCCCTTCAAGACTCTGTTTGTTGCTCGACTGAGCTACGACGTGAAGGAGTCCGACCTAGAACGAGAGTTCGGTAGATTTGGGCCAATTGAAAGAGTGAGCTTATCTGAATTCGAAGTGCCATTCAAAGCTAACTTCTGTTAGATCCGCATTGTAAAAGACACAGTCACGCCGAAGGGCTCCAAGAAGCCACACAGGGGCTATGCTTTCATCGTGTATGAGCGTGAAAAGGACATGAAAGGTACTACTGCTACTCACAATTATAGTGAAACCTCTGAGACTTCTCTTGACCTCAAAACTTTGGACTCCTTGCTGACCTGATCATCCTTGTCCCAACTCAGCTGCCTACAAAGAGACAGATGGAATCCGAATCAAGGATCGACGTGTCTTGGTAGATGTGGAACGTGGCCGCACAGTCAAAGGCTGGAAGCCTCGCCGCTTCGGCGGAGGCTTGGGAGGACGTGGCTATACTAAGGCTTTGCCCTCGCGTCCCACCGGACCTGGATCTTTCGGTGCACCTTCCGGCCCTGGAGGATTTGGTGGTGGATTCCGGGGCGGATATGGAGGTAGAGGCTTTCGAGGAGGATATCGCGGCGGCGATCGCTTTGGCCCTCGTGGCGGGATTGGTTATCAGGGCGGACGCAACGGCTTCGGTGGACAGGCTCCACCAAACGCTCCCTCTGGTCCCGGTGGTGGCCGGAATGCTGGCTTTGGAGGCGGCTATGCTGGTGGTGGAAAGTATGAGAGAGATGCCCGTGCCCCAGGTGTAACTGGCAGCAACCGCGAGCCTATCAGGCCCAGAGAGGGCTACTCAGAGCGAGACCGACGTGATCATGATCGTGATCGGGAAGGTGACCGTCACAGAGACCGTGATCGGGATCGCTACCGTGACCGTGATCGCGACCGCGAACGTGACAGATATGGTGGCCGAGAGGACCATGGCCGCAAGAGATATCACGAAGACGATTCCTATGAGGATCCTCGCGCTAAAAGGAGGTACTGAACCTCCCTTACTGGATTAAGTTCCCCATCCAGGCGTCAGCATGGTTTGCTGGTGGGTATCTATGCTTGATCTTTCCTTTCTTCCCTTGTCCTCTTTGATGCAATGGGTAAGGCAAGGTCAATTCACAAGTCAACGCCGACATTTACGACCGCGGAAGCATTTATAACTCGCACAGTCGAACCAATGTGCCACCTTTTTCTGCTTATCACCAGGCATCTTCATCAGCTGAAGGCTTCACTTGTTACTATTTCCTTTACGAAGGGTCAAGGTTTGGAGGCACTATTCGTGATGGCCCCTTTTCCTCCTTACGATCTCGTGGTCTCGCCTCTGTTCTGCGTGTTTTCCATCTTGTTTTGTTCTGTCGGCCCTTTTAGGGTCTCTGTTACTCTGCACGGGGTAAGTATGTATTTTAGGTAGCCGTCATTTTCCTAGGTGCAATTTGGTTGGGATCCGGGCATGCTCAGGTAAGAGACGCAGGTAAGGCATATTTAACGGCCATGTCGATGCCAGAATCCTCGTATGCAAGTAAGAATCGGTAATCTATCTACATAATTCATGTTTGTCACCATGTAGCTTTCTGCTCTGAATGGAAGATGGCCTGCATAATTGCTTTTCCGCGTGGTATTCTATGTCCATCGTACGCTCATCCAGCAACATCAAGGATGAATTCATGATCTTCGAGGAATATAAAAAGAGAAACAACGAAAGAACGCCTATGCCCAACTCCAATCAATGCCCAGGAAATTTTTGGGGTAAAAGAAGAAAAGGAACGGTCTTGGACGCGAAATTACTGTCCATCAACCTCCATGCCCTCATCCTTCTCGAGGATCTTAACTTCACCGGTACTCCGAGTCCATTGCGCCTTTAGATCGACTTTGAATTCGGCAGTAGCGACACCGAACATCTTCAGCAACGTTGTCTGCCGCGAGTCCAGAACTTCTCCCTCCTTGCAGACAGGGTAGCCCTCTTGCCCATCAGTCAGCTCGAGCATGACCTTGCCCTTCACTAGACGAGTAGGAACGCCCAGTTTGCGCAGCTCCGGCTCGATCGTGTGGCTGACGGGTTCGTCTTCGGACGCAGGAATCTCACCGCCACGGGAGTAGACCAAGCCATTGGGGATGCTGAATGAGCGGGTGCTGACTGTGCCGGCACGGGCGAAGTCGAGGGGGCGGAAGGCGTCGAAGTAGCTGAGGACGGACTCGGCATCGCGCGAGGTGAAGAGAAGACCGACGGCACCTGTCAGGTAGGGAGAGAGCTTGTGCAGGTTGGGTGCGGCCTCGGTCTCGGGGTTGTGGCCGAGGGCAACGGCCATTACTTTAGTTTTGCCAAAGAAGAGACTATTTAAATGTGAGCGATTGAAGCACGATGATGTTTCCGCTGCCGTATTGCACATCGTAGAAGTGCATATCTCGCGGGGCTGACTCTGAAAATCAGGCAGACTCACCGACTATCAGCGAATTCGGTGCGCACATCCTTCAAATAGGTGTTGCGCATGTTATCGACGGAGAAAACGAATAGGTGATCATAATTCTCGACACATTCGCGGATATTGGCATAAAGTCGTCTGGTCTGTTCCTTGTGGGACTTCTTGGTGACCTTCGACTCGTGGACGATTCTGGCACGCTTTGAACGAGGCATTGTGAAATAATTATAGAATGTGATTCCTGAGAGTGATTATACCGTTGCGAGTCTCTGTATGACTTAAATGATGTGGAAATATACAGACTCGGAAAATTGACTCGGAGCAGAAAGATACGATTATTTTTTTCTTCTCTGATAACAGGCGGATTAATGTTGATGCGGGGCTTATCCGATTACGCTAAGTCGTATAAGGAAATGAGCTGATGATGTTGGGGCTTCAACCTTGGACTCCAGGATGACCATCGTCATTAATCATTCGGGCCGGATCCATTTCTCATTCATTGGAGATGGACTTATAATAATAAATGACGGCTGGGCTGAAGAACTGAGTTGAGACATCATTGACAATGCTTGACTTCATGGACTACATCCAATTGGCATTTGCCGAGGCGACCAACTGGAACCGCGACAACTCATATTCGTTCCTGACGGCCACAGCGCAATGTATGTGAATTGCCTCATATATAAACTCTGATAATCATAGTCTCAATTTGACTGCATACAGCATTACTCGATTTCTCGACGCCGGAGCGTCTGCGCGTTCATCTTTCCTCCCTAGCCACTCCTCACTTCGCGACCAGTTATACCCTCGGCACAGTTGGATTGATCGATGGCTCCGTGTCGTACCTCTACAGCACCGTGCCTTTAAACAATACCCCCAGCCGGAGCGCCCTTATTCCACTGCGTAAACTAGCGCGCGGTTATCGCCAAGTTCAGCCTCCAGTTGCCCCGGTTGAAGATTGGGGCTGGCAGTCACTTCTTGGTGGACTCGGATCTTCTGAGTCCAAACCCTCCGGCAATGGCGATAGTCAACCTTCGCTCGGGCGGAAGGCGACTCTGCTCAATGCAACTTTGCATCTTCCTCCCCCGACAACTCTGAATGCCTTGTTCTTGCGCCGGATTTCACCAACCATGCAGCTGTCATTGGCAGTCTGCTCGACCCGGGGAGCTCCTCTATCAAACTCCGCGCCGCAAGCTTCTCTCCTGGGTCAGCTCTCCCACGACACGGGCAAGTATAGCAATGAATACCTGTTCAGCACGGACAATTCTTTGTTCGGCTGGCGGGGGCTGTGGAACTTCGGCCCCGACCCGCGCCATCCCAAGGAGAACCCATCACCACGGTTATCACTACTATCAGCCGGCGCAGAAGCATATTACTCCCCCGTCTCTTCGCTCATCGGCATGTCGACTGGGCTACGGTTCAGCACCCTACCAGCAGCCACCGAGATGCCTTCATCATCATCATCGACATCTAGCACAACCACAACCTCAAACCACGGCACCCCGATCTCTACCTTCCCATACACCCTCACCCTGGTCCTAACGCCGCTCACCGGCTCCCTATCAACCACCTACTCCCTCCGCGCCTCGCCCAATCTAGCCTTCAGCTCCCGCTTCGGCTTCAACGTCTACAGCTGGGAAAGCGAAATGGTCGCCGGCTGCGAACTATGGCGGAAACGAAGGAAATCCTCGCCCCCGCCAGTCGATGATGATGGCCTCGAATGGGCCAGGAGGAAGATGCGCATGGCCGATACTCCTGGGGTTCCTCCCGTGGAACCCCCCAGTACTCACAACAGAGACGAGGAAAATGAATCGGTGCTGAAGATCCGCGTCGATCAGTCCTGGAATGTGCGGTTGCTGTGGGAGGGCCGCGTGAAGGAGCTTCTGGTTAGTGCGGGTGTTGGGTTAGGTCCGAGTTCGTTCTCTTCGTCTTCGTGGGCTGCGAATTCGACTGCGGCCGGGGGGGGGCAGTCTGTTGGTGGAGGCGTCTCTGGGAAGTCGTACTGGCATGGTGTTGGGGTGTCGGTTTCGTATTCGTCGTGAGAGCGACATATTCTATAATCTGTATATGACTGCATCGTTCTTTGTATATAGCACTTTCTACTACGTCCTGAATATGAATTAGGATAGAATTCATCCCATGACTTTACGAATGTTAAGAGGATTGAACCAGCTGTATCGCATACTTCACTTTATTTACATTCAATTTTTACTTAATGTGGAGATATATAGCCTGAACTCCACCGGCTAAATGGGCGAACGTAAGCAAGCCTATATAATTCCCCAGAGGGCTGCTTAAGAGCCCGATTGCGATTCACGATTTGTATTCCTGCCGGTACTACAGCGGCAGCAGGATTTGGTGAGAGAGGTTTTCTTGTAGGTCGGCTTACAGACGGGCGTTGACAATGTCGACGACTATGAATCACATCGTTAGTCTATAACTTCGACACTCAATTGGGCAGAAAGAAGTCCTTACAGGCAGGCTTCAAGCTGGCACCGCCAACCAGGAAACCGTCGACATCGGGCTGCTTGGCCAGCTCGCGGCAGTTCTTCTCGCTGACGGAGCCACCGTAGATAATGCGGACGTTCTCAGAGGCCTCGGCGGAGACGTCGTCGCTGAGCCACTTGCGGATGGCGGCGTGAACCTCCTGGGCCTGCTCGGTGGTAGCGACCTTGCCGGTGCCGATGGCCCTGCAGTGTGTTGTTAGCGTTTAGTTATGAATCAATGTGTTTGTGAGCGACTAACCAGACGGGCTCGTAGGCAATGACGACCTTCTGCCACTGCTCCTTGGAAAGTTCCTTGGCGACAGCAGTAAGCTGCCTTCTAACGACGTCGATGGTCTTGCCGGCCTCACGCTCCTATGTAGGGTTAGTCTGCTAGATACGTGGGGAATAGAGCCGAGAGAGTAGAATAACTTACCTCCAGGGTCTCACCAATGCAAAGGATGACGCTCAGGCCACCATCAATGGCAGCCTTGGTCTTGCGAGCAATGAACTAATCAGACATGTCAGCCATTCCATTCCCAATCCGGCAAAGTAGATTCCGGCGAGTAACGTACCTCGTCAGTCTCCTTAAGGATGACACGACGCTCGCTGTGTCCGATAATAGCCCAGTCAATCTTAGCATCCTTGAGCTGCTCAACGCTGATTTCACCGGTGAAAGCACCGTTGGGCTTGTCGAAGACATTCTGGGCAGCAACGCCAATCTTGGAGTTGGCAGTTTGGCGGGCGAGGAGGAGGTAAAGAGCAGAGGGGGAGATGACGACCTCGACGGAGGGGTCAAGCTTGGCCTCATTGAGGTTCTTAATGATGGAGGTGATGGTGTCAGTGACACCGTTCCTATCGTTGCGCCGAGAATGTCAGTAGCTGTGCAGTTGCAGGCTGGGATGGTGAAGCTGCGAGGGGAATTGCGGGGCCTTGAGTTAGAGCTCATACATCTTGAAGTTACCACCGACGAAGAATTGGCGAGGCATTTTGGCTGAGTGTATAGAGAATGAAAGAAATGGGAAAATATTCCGAAGATATGAGTCTTAACAGTATGGAGAGATTGGTATGAGGGAAGAAAAGCAGGAAGTCTCTAGCCTGGAGTAACCGACGTTTATTATGGAGTTTATGACGAAGCAAGACGAAGAGAAAACGGGAGACAGCGGGGCTGGATGCCTTACCGAACTGGCAGAAACAGAGAGGGGCTTATCGATAACACTTGGACAGCGTCACTTGGTCCACTTCACCTCACCGGGCAGTTGATGAGCTGTCCGGCTGTGTGTACATATGAGATGATTCTTCAATTGGCTCATCTAATACGAAAAGGATGTCCAGGGAGTTATCTGCGGACAGTAGACTGTTCAAAACTGTTGTTCTCTATAATTGCATGTACCTAATTATCAGGAGACTACATATACTAGTAACGCCCATGTTCCCGGTGGTATCCCTGTTGACCGATTGACCGAAACCCCAAAAGTGTACATTATAGCATGGGAGACAGAAGGGGGGAAAATGAACGAAAATCAAATCGAAATTGATAAGGAGAAATTTAAAGGAGCCTAGAAAAAGGCCCAGAGAACTTCACAGGTAATATCGACGCTGAAAGAGACCTGGCTCTCGAAGCGACAGGTGTCGATCCAAATAACGCGCTTCTTCGAGTTTCTCGTCCAGCATCCGGGCCTGATGCTCGACCAGCTTCTCCCGCCGTTCCACTCTCGCTTCCCGATCATCCAGGATTCGCGTTCTGATGTCATTCCTCTCACGGCCCTTAAGCAGTTTTTCGCCGAGGTGTACTAGGTCCAGGTCGGCCGAGTTCGCGGGTGCTTGCACAATCTTGGGCCGGCTCCGGGGCTGTTGCTGGGCGGCACTCTCTTTCAGTTGAGGCTTCACAGTTCGCTTGCTTGATTGCTTGCTATTTGCTGGGATCATCTCGACATAACCGACTGGGTATTTGCTGTGGTTGAGCTTCGAGTCTGAAGCAGGCTTGGTCGGCTTCTTGCGGTAATGAGTCCTGTAAGCGACCTCAGGCCGATTTTGCCTTGATGCGGAGTTCTGGCGATGATGAAGGCTTCCGCGCCATGACTTCGATGTTCTTGACGGTTCGTCAATGATGTCCTCGGAGCCTTCGGTAGCTGAGCTTTCGTCCTCGAAGTCAAACAGCTCGGAATCGTCATCTCCTAGGCTGCTCGACTCAGGAGGCCACTCTGCTTCGGGCCCGACGTGCAGACTTGACGACCGGGGTGTATAAGTTTTGTTCGCTTTGGTTTGATTATGAATTTCTGGTCTCATGAAGGGTTGATCCGCATGATGATTGACTTGATTGGGACCAAGACCACGATCATGGCTCTGAGGATGTCCATCAGGAGCAACTGGGATTACCCGGATACCCGGATTTTGTGGCTGAAATTGAGGATTGTTGCCTGGTTGAGGTACCCCGTGATGATGTATTTCTGGTTGTTGGTGCAATGGCCATTGCGTCTGTTGATGGTGCTGCTGCCTTGCATCAGCGTGACCCTGGGGAGGGAAATGTGGTTGCTGGTACGCATGCTGAGGATGTTGCTGCGCTTGATTCGTGTTTGCTGGCATCTGCGCATGGCTGATAGCCGGCTCACTCCATTGGCCATTTATCTCGACAATTCTCGGCCTACGCACGTCTTCTGCCATGAAGTTGTTGGGATCGACAGGGTGCTCCTCCCTGGGTTGGGAATGAGTCTGGCCATCCCCCGGTTCGA